AGAAAACGGAGGGGTGAACTAAGTAAGAGGTCACTGAGAAATAGGGGAAAAATTGACGAATATTTTTGCCGTACAGAACGATATAAGAAGTCAACCTTCCCATCAATTTGTAAACTGTTAAATAAGTGAGAGGTTGCCTTTTATTGCCATAATCGGTCTTTTTTACAAATGTGCTTAGTTACGATTGAAATGAATGTATTGGTGCTTGTTTGTTTTAAGTGATTATTATCTGATTTAAATAATTGTAAATAAAATTTTAATTAATTTTAGTGTATTATCTAATTTAAATAATTGTAAATACAATGTTAATTCCAGTGTAATATCAAATTTAGTGCCTTATTAATTTTTATTGGGATGTTGTTGACTTGTTTTTTTTTTTATTTAATTCTAGTGTATTATCTGATTTAAATAATTGTAAATAAAATTTTAATTAATTCTAGTGTAATATCAAATTTAGGCCTTATTACTTTTTATTGATGTTGTTAACCTGTTTTAGATGTTCTGCATTCGAATATTTTAGATATGTAATTCAAATTTAGCCAATTTGTTTTTTAAATATTTTCATTTGTTGTTGAGTGCAATCGTTTTAATTGTTTATAATTGTTTTTTATGTCGAATTTTGTTAATATTTCTCAATTCAGCCTTTGTGATGCCATGAAATATGTTTCGATGTGAATAAACCAGAATAAAAAAAAAAATAAATAAATAAAAAGTATTATTTTAATTTTGCTGTGAATGGTGATACCCATCTTCACTGACTTCCGTGATACAATTGATAATCAAATAGTAAAAACATGCAAATATTAAAAATTTGCGGTAGATTTTCCTGGAGACTTTTTCTTGCTTGCGGAAGTGCGGAAGGCCCGGCGTCCCGATTTCCGGGAAACTCCTGCGACTTCCAGGAGACTTGGGATCCCTGTTGTTTCAAATGTGAAAGCCATTGAGGGGGTATTGATAAGTACTGGTATAATAATCTATTGTAGCTTTGAAATGTGTGTTCAATCAGACAGATCATTCTGGTATTATCAATAAAATGATTGATAATGGTGTTAGAAGATCATCTAAATTTAGGCCTAGTTGACATCACTTCAGCATTATCATAACATAAGTATTAGTAAATTTAATGATCCTTAGATTTGAAAACTGCAATATCTGTAAGACTGCGATTTTAACTCCTGCAAGATGGTAAAGGTATATGTAGAGGTTAAAGCCAAGGTTAGAAAATACGTTTAAATTTTGCTTATTATAGAATAATCTCATACAAACGAACTGAACCAAACAACTCTACCCAATTTAATCTGTAACCTTGGGACTACAAAGACAGTAACAATCTTCAGTTAAATACTGCAACAACAATTCATGAAAGCCAGTGGAAAATTCTGTCATGATTGCCTCCATTCTATTATAAAGCAGTCATGCATACCAATTACTAGAAATCTACAAGAGATACTGTACAAATAGGACTCTATTGATTTCTTCTGAGTAGATACTCACAAGTCCTTTGGTTCTAGTATATATTCACAAGTCCTTTGCTTCAATCTAGTTATACTCAAAAGTTTGAAAAACATGGCAACCTATGGACTATATTTGGGAATGGTGGGTCTCTCTCCTGAACAGCAGAGACAATTTATTCACCAGCAATCTACATATAGCTCAATCCAGGTAAATAATTTTATCCTTTACTAACATTTCTGAGAAGCATACCTCAGTCTACTAATACAATAGAGGTATATAAATTCACAAAACATGTTCTTTGTTGGCCACTACTGTGTATTTTGTAAATATAATATAATCAAACTTGTTTCCAGAATAAAAAAAGTATATTGATAGATATGCATAGTATTTAAAGCTTTAAAAACATACCATAAAGTAGAGATTACTCCAACATTCAACAGGGTAACTGGCTAAATAAGGTTTATAATCAATTTAAAATGTTTACTGTTCTTAAATTCATAATGGTAACTCATACAGTACTCATAGAGTAATATTCAAAGACAGAGATATTTATTCATTTTTCAAATAGTTTTTTTAAATAATTATTTAAGTATTTTCATTATTTTTTAAATGTTTAAATCATTTATTTTATAAATTTATGCTCATCTTGTAATTGGCAATTACACTGTTGGAGTTTTGAATAAAATAGGACTATATACAAATATATACAATTTTTTCAGAACCTGAACCAGTAAAATTTTTCCCAGGCATAGTGTTCTTATTTTTTTGCAGATTTCAGTCATAAAATGTTCTTATTTTGTTCTTAATTTTTACACACTTTTTAAACATAAAAGATTATTTGTTTTCAACAGTGCATTACTGTACTGTATTAACTATTATAGAGGCTGTAATACAGTCACACCATGGCCAACACATACTGCAATTATGATACAGATTTGTTGGTTTTTCTATTTTTCAAAAATGTTATTTGACATTTTACCTCAGCCTCATTTTGTTCTTAATTTATAAGCAATTTCAGCCTCATTGTTCTTTTAAAATGTGTTCTTATATATTTAATAAAAGTGTATTGTATAATGCAACCCTGACATTCTTTTTCACTGTTAAAAAAAATCAACATGCATACCAAACTTACCATACCATCAGAAAAATATAAATGATAATATATTAAAATATCACATCACATAATTTTTTTTCCCTTCAGAAATACAGCTATTTATTATTTATTATTTTCAACTACTGCTTTTTAGTTTTACTTTTTTGTAGTTTTCAAGAATTTTTCTGTAATAATATGTACTTTTCCAGCACAACAATGATTTTCCTTTTTTACAGAAACCTGTATATAACTTCTGGCTATGTAATTTTTGTTGCACACCTCTGCATAAGAGTGAGTTTGGTATTTCTAGAAACAAAAAAATGTTTGTTTGTATATTATTGTTTTTTTCTTCTTAATTTTAAAATGGAATATTAAATTAATTCTGTACAATCCTTTATTTTACTGTATTGGTCTTAATACTTTTTAGCTAATTAATTTAGAAATTTATAAAGCTGAACTTGTATCCTACTTTTTGTTAGTATGAATTAGATACCAGTATATGTTGACATTTATCAAATTAATTAATAAATTAATTTTAAACAACTTAATGAATAAAAGGATGGATTGATAAATGAATGAATGACTGCACAAACAAAGTAACAAATTGTTGAATGAAAGAATAGATGAAAGAATTAATGAATGGATAAATGAATGAATGAATAAATTAATGAAAATCAGAGCCAAACAATAAATGGATGAATGAAGGAATGAATAAATGAAAATCCAGCTAGATTTCATTTTTTCTTCATGAGAATACAATAATCCTAATATTTGCCAGAATCGAACCCAGGATGATGAAGATGAACCACTTTCACCACCAAGCCGTGCCTCCACCACAACCACGTCAACCTTGGAACAAAAGACTATGACGTGGCTAAGATCCCATTCAGAAGCACTTAAAAACAGGCCAAATGGAAAATTCTGTCACGAGCTATGGATCTGCTATAGCAAGGACTTTTAACGGTATAGTAAAGTCCTAGATTACAAAACAGTTATGCATAGCAATTACCGTAATCAGCTGTGGGTACAGTATACCAGTTATATAATCTAGTTGTATAGTCACAAATTAAGAAGCATGGCAACTTATGAACGATATTTGCTAATGGCAAGCCTCTCTCCTATGGAGCGAAGGCAGATTATTGAACAGCAATCTATGTGTTGGATTAATACCATTCAGGTAAATGATTTTATTATTAATAATAATAATAATTAATAACTACTTTTATTTAGACACAGGACAGCTTCTATTACCAGATAGGTGTTATTCAACCAGGCTGTGATTGCCTTAATAACAATAAAAATAATATTAAGCAGATAAATATTTTCTACTGGACTTTACTACTTAACCAACCTACCTGTATGTATGACAACACTCATAAATGTAAAAAAATAATAGTTCTTAAACAAAAACACCAAAACTAGATAAAAAGAATTTAATCAAAGTAATTTAACTACTTAAAAAGATTCTTATTGAAACTGCATTTGATTAATATCAAAGGTAAAAGAAAAATGCACTTAACTAAGTTACTTAGTTAAGTGCATCTTGTTAACTAACAAGACTTTTTAAACAAAAATGTAAACTAATAACTGCTTAAATGTAGACATATTCTTTACATTTTTGTGTATCCAAGACACTTCCATAATTGGGCACCACGATACTAAAAAAAAAAAAACATCTTTTGCACTTTATTATGGGTTTCTCCAATTGCCAGAGTTGATTTTTTATGGTAATTTTCTTCTTTAAACACAAACCTTTGCTAAGTACGGTGGTGATATGTTTAAATGGAATATCTTGTTAAAATGTTTTAGCCTCATTTCACTATAATTGATCTTAAAGTTTCATTAAGTTTACGGTAGGTCCTGCTTGTACTCTGGGAGTGAGTCACTAAAGGCATAAACTGCAGCATGGAAATTAATGAAAAACACTTGATGGGTACAGGGAGGAAGGATATATGATCAAATTGTATTCCATAGCCCACAAGGATGGTAACTCATTTAATATCATGTTGCAATAACTGATCTCACTCCAGAGGAGATCAGTGAGTTTATTTACCACTATTCCTTGGGTTGGATTCTTGCCTTTCAGGTAAATATTTCTATCCTATCCAGACCAGTTACTGCACTAGTTACTGGTACACATGCTTCTAAGGGAGTTTAGGAAAAAAATGTACACATGTGCTGTACATGATAAAAATGAAAGCATTGAAAAAAGGTGCAATTCACAGAGAGCGGGGAGGGGGGGAGATGAGTTTTTGAAAAAATCATTTTATAAACAATTACAACAGAATTGGAATGCATCTAATAATATAACAAAAAATTTTAGTAGAATTTTCAAGGATTTATTTTTAAAAAGTGGAAATTTCCATTCGGGTCAAAGGTATTTTGCATCAATGGTAGAACCCTCCTTTGTCATTAAAATAAGTATCATTCAGTACTTATTTTACGACCTGCTCAGGTATTTTGTTGACAAAATAACCTTTATAATGATTACATACAGTTGGCAAAATGGATAACTTCCAGTTCTACATATATGAATCGGAGCATAGCTACATAGATAAGAAGACCATGCTTCATATACAAGCAGTAAGTCTTCCAAACGCCATAATGGTAAGATTACTTTCATCATGCTTTAATCAGTCAATCTAGATTTTGGTCTCCTTCAAACCTCATATGATTTGACTATTTGAAATATGTTAAATTGAGTATTAGTACCCGACAGTGAGATACTGTATATTAAAAAGCTGTTAGTTATTTGATTCCAGTAATAAGCAAGTTTTTATTTTTTTGCCATGTAGGTTGGTTTTGGAATTTCATGCCTAATTTTATCAAGTTCTTCATAACTTGGCAAAACTTAAACTCTGTCCATACTATATGGTTCTATTAGACAAATACCTATCATTTGCCCATATATGGGCAACTTAACTCCCTAAGTCTTGTAAAAAGACTTAATTTAACAACGTTGCATCCTATATTTGGTGAGTATATTCCCCTCTTGTGTGGACGAAATCTGTATTGCATTTGTAACTAAGATTTTCTTTTGACTATTAAGTTAGTACTTCGTAAAATTTATTGTACAATACACACTGCTTGCTGTTCCAATGAATTAGCGAATAATGTGAAATGCCTTAGTAAATATATATGGTATAAGACAAGGACTGACAAACAGGGATGTTCCTTCATATAATCCCATACACTAGGATTGACATGGATTATAGGCTTTGGGATTGGAGGTCATGGGGTTAAATCCCAAGCTATTATTGGATAACTCAAATATGATGAATGGACTGCACAAACTTCATAAAGGCTGGAATTTTAGTCAGGGAGTGTATATAAATACACATTTACATTTCAACATTTTCTCCAACATGGAATGGATAATAAAACATACCATATATCAAGACAGCATGCATTATAATTATTTATATAAAAAAGAAATCTATGAAAGTTAAATCTTTATTTTATACTAAATTGGATGTCTAAGTTATTAAGGCTGTTTGTAATTTTTTTTATACAGAATGGACTCTTTCCATATTATATTTATTTGTTTTAATGTGATTTCCATAACCGATCCAAAAATGAAAATGACCTTCAGTAAATATCATAACAGCATCTATGTATTACATAGACCAAGATCATACTATACTGGCACCATTTTTCGTTTAACATGCTAAAAATTATTTTACATGGGTTTATGCAAATATATGTTAATTACACACATAATGAAATAGATTATGTATTTTTTGCAGGACCTGATTGAATTCATTGATCTAAAATGGAATGGAATTCGGGTTGTATCATCATCAGACGATGAATTTGAGGTTGTTGAAGTACTGAACAACCGTGAAGAAGAGCAAAAGAAGAAAAAGGAGAGAAAAGCCCGCAAACGACAAAGAACAGACGAAGCTATAGAGAATGAGCGGAATTTAAACGGAAGAAATAAGAATGGATTGTCTCAGGGACGTTAAATATCAGTGGACGTTGTTGAATGAACAATTTTTTTTAGCTGCGCTCTCACTTCTAGGCATAATGCATTAAAATAAATCAGTGTGTGTATTGTATTGGATATTCCATAATACATAGGTTGGAGAACAAACTGCGAACAACACAATCAAAATATCTAAGGATGTATGATTTGATTTGATTTGAATTTACTTATCAGTGGCAGATCCGGAAATTCAAAAGAGTGGAGGCCCAGGGAGTAACTTCGAAAGGTGGAAGGTCTAGTAGGCCAATTCAGCTCCACCGTGATTGAAGCTGAGATATAAATTTATGACATGGCATCTCTAATATAGCCAGAAATGGCACTCTCAAGCATAAATTTGAATATAATTTTCTTTTTTTCTCCATTTTTTAAATAATAACAAAAAATGTAGGACCCTCTTCCCTTGAAACTGCAAATATTATTATTACTATTATTTTATCATTTTAAGTGAGCATTTAATGTATGGAATGGAATGTATGAGTATGTATGAGTTTTTTTCCTCAGATTGTATTAAGCATTATGCCTATATCATAGTAACTTAATTATACTTAGCCTGGCTTACATTATTGTATTAACTATTGATTGGAATACATACTATAGTGTTTATACAGAAAAATATTCATCTCTTGTAGTATGTTAGTTTTTTTGTAGCTCATTACTCAAAAGAAATTATCATTTAAGAAATTATGTAACTTCAAGTATACTTTTGAGAACTGAGTATATACAGTAATAGTGACTATTTATATACAGTACAGTACTACTACTTTTATTAAATATAATAAGTAAATGCATGTTAGATTGTAAAGTAGATAAATTTATACTTTGTAATCATATTTTTAATAATATTATCGTTTTCATATTTACATACTCATTCTCATACAGACAACAAAAGCATTAAAACCTGAATAATTATCATTATATCATTATGAATATTGTTTTTATTATTAAAAATATTTCTTAGCCAGGCTTTAAATAAAAACTTCGGTACACCAGGGTCATAAGACAAAAATCCATTGATTTGTTGTTGTGACATCTTGGTGAAATTAAGATAACATCATTAAGAAGATAAAAAAACATTGATTTAAGTTTATTCAAACATATGAGACTGTCTGTGACTATTGTTGTATTCTATAGGTATGTTCAGGCACAAGGGTGTAAAGTTTGTGTACAACTTTCATTGTCTGAAGTTGTCACAGAATTAAGCTTATACTTAAAGTAAGAAAGTCTACCACTGTGTGTCTGAACATACCCATAGTTAAGCTTGTGTACCAGTATCTTATAACTAATAAATATAGGTCTCCCTCTAATTAAAGACCACCTCCAATTTAAGACCATTTTTCTGTTTATTCTAATTAGAGACCAAAGCTACTAAAGCCCATGGAAACCCAGTCCAGTGTTCTCCCGAAGCCGTCTTAGCCGTCAATTTTACCGGTAAAAATAACCAACCAACCAGTAAAAATTTTGAGTTTGTAAAATAAAAAAAACTATTGATTAGGCTTAGGTAGTCCAGGCTGGCCCTCTTAATAAATTAACATCATTGCAGTCTATATCTACACTATGAATATGTGTTGTTGTGTCTTCAAGTCATTTAACCCAACTAAAAAGAGGTAACGTACCTCACATTGTGCGCATTGCAATTTTTTATGGACAAATTTACCAGTAAAAATTTTTCAGTTGGGAGAACACTGCAGTCCCAAAAATGGTCTTTAATTAGAGGGAGACTTGTAGTAAATTTTGAGAACAAGTAAATGTAGTTTGCAATTACCAAGGTGTAATATCGTCTCCTGCAATCTAAGGGACTAGGCCCGAAATGATTAAACTGGGAATAATAGGGTATCCTGCAAATTATGAGCTCAACAGGCCTAGTCTCCTAAATTGCAGGAGAATGGTTTCAATCTGTTTTACTTTAGTTAATTGTTAATCAATAATTAGATGAAATTATAAAATATAAAGTATTACCCAATATTTTGTTGGTATGAAGTGATGAGATGTTGATTATTTCATTAAAGTGTATAAAGTATGTTTTGTAAATAAATATCATATATATAGTAAAAATACACTTATTGTATTATGTGTGTTATAGAATTTCAGTTTAATACAAATTATTATTATTTTCCACACAATTAAAATTACTTGGCAATCGATCACAACCGACTGCGTTGCTGTGAAGTCAGGCATGACAAGCTGACAGGTGGAATGAAGTTTACAATTCTCACTCAATTTATCACTGGCATACATAAATTCACAAATACAGAAATGATATTCATATCAATAAAATTACTCAAAAGCATCACTGACAAGTCTATCTACTAATGGAAATTTAATGAGAATAAATCTCTCTATCAATAATATTTTGCTGGCTTGCAATTAAACAATTTTTTTTATAGAAAAAAAAAACTGCACATGCTTTAGAGTGATAGTGAGGCAGAGGGCTGAGCTGAATTCATGTGTGAACTGTGCTGAATTACACAGCATAGTACTAGTAGGTTTCAGAATAACCTGCCTTCTGATGTTGTCAACTGAGCTGAGTAGACTACCTTGTGGAAAGGCAGCTAGGCTAAATTTACATCAATGCGGTAGGTTTAAGAGGGAAAAAATTGAAGCACTTACTTGAAGCAGGTCACGACCTTTGGAGCTGAGGTTGGGTACAACATTTGCTAATGACATGGACATCGGGTATATTGGAAAGGGCTAAACAAAAAAATTGAAAAAATACAATATTATTAGATACTAATTTTTCCTTAAAAACTTTGAAAATATTAATTTGTTCATTCTAATGGTTCTAAAATATTGGTTGTGACACAAAACTGGGTTGCCAAATAAATTAGAGGCTTGTGAGCCATTTTATATCCTGCTAAAATTTCCCATGGTAAAGGGATTGCATTTTAAATACCAGTATCATTTAAACATTTTACTACAATTTTGTTTACTAGTTAATTAACAATTTTGAATATATGTCTGAAGTGATTCACAGCAAATTACCTGGATGTTTGTTTTGGCTGTCGATCAAAAAGTTCCAATAATAATAATTAAATAGGGGAAAAAGCAATATTAAAAAAAAGTAAAAATTATTTGATCATCTCTTCAAGAAGAGAAAGGGAGAGCATAGAGGGCACAGGAAATAGTATGTTTTTTAATATTTTTTTTAAGTTTCATGACATTTTTGTTGCATAATAATGACAAATTTTACCTTATAATCTGGATGTTTAGAAACGCCCGGCCATGTTTCTTCCGTAGGCGTTCCGAGAAGTTTAAAGATACGCTTGAGCTGATCCTCTACATCATTGCCGGGAAATAGCGGTCGTCCCGCATTACCCATTTCTACAGATTAACAATTAACATTCAAACACATTAAAATGATGACGCAATTATATAACAATCAGTAATTGTCAAAATAATCATAGTTAGTCCACTACAAAAAAAAAAAGCCATGAAAGTGCTAAGGGCAAATTTATTTAACATAATTCTTCTAAATAACAAACAGTACAAACTTATAACATTGAAACAAACAAGGAAATATTTATAGGAAGGGAAGGAAATCCTAAAGAGCTAATTACAGTAAATTACTGTCAGAAATGTGTCTTCAGTAATTAATTTAGTTCAACATTTATTTTGTACCAGGTTGATGCTGTTAGCCCTAAGCAATACAAATAATGGTAAGTGTATTATTAGAGCAGCAGGTGGAGAAACGGAAAAGACAGAAAGTAAAAAAGAAAAGCATCATGTACATCATATCATATTCTCCTGTCTGTACAATGCTTATCAATAATAACAATCTTGTATTTCTATTGAGCCTTTTACAATACACATAATTGTCACAAAACGTTTTAAAAACCCCAAAAAGACGGGAAGTCTGAGAAAAACATCATGTATATCAGATCATATTTTACTGTTGCATAATGCTAATTATCAATATAATATAATGTATTGTATTTTAGAACAAGGTGTATAATTATTACAAGTAAAGTTCAAAAAACAGAATATGTAATATACTTATGTTTTTAAAACAACCATTTCATATGTATTCTATTACACCATTTCACCAACAAACTGACAACTGGATATACACTCTATAGCTGTCACAATTATATGGTCACCAAATTAACAATAAATATTACATAAAAACAGGAACTATATAGATTTAGTAGAATCTACATAGAAAAGAGGGAAGATACATCTAGCATAAGAATTATCACACAGAGGGCGCTATTCATATCACTTGGGATGTGATGGGTAAACACTGCAGTTGATTGAAATAATTAACTTGTATTCATATCTTTACTGCTACTTATTTTTTAACATGGGACAATGGACACATCAAACAATCTGACAAAAAATACTGTTGTGGAATTCAAGGTAATCTGAAGAAAAATCATTCTGTATATTTTCTTTGTTTACTTTACGCCCTTATTGTTAGACAGTGGTGGCCCCAGAAATTGCTGACAGGGGTCCAGCAAGTCTGATTCAAACCAGGGGCAACAGGAAGCATTTTGGTCAGTGCAGTAGCAGCACCACCGGAAATTCTCCAATGAGGGTTCGGCAAAAGATCCAAGTATCCTGACAGGGTCTGAATTCTCCTCATGTTTGAAGCTTTTTACTGATTTCTTTATAAATAGTCATATAATTACCTGCAAATATACATCCTGCTGACCACATATCAATTGAAGTTGTGTAAATTTTAGCACCAAAAAGAACATCTGGGGGTCGGTACCAGAGGGTCACGACCTCTGCAGAATAGCACCTGACTGGGATTCCAAATGCACGGGCAAGACCAAAATCAGCCAGCTTCAAGTCACCATTCTGAAACAGAACAGTTTTAATTCATCATTTATTTTTATTATTAATATATTTTTACCAAAGACATAATATCCTTAGAAGGATAATAATCTCAATTTCCACTGAAATTTCCTAAATTATCACCCATTTTAAAATGATATAATTGTTGCCAACATAATTTCCAAGCGACGCAACTTCTATTAAAACCAATGTTAAGATATGTTGTACAACTGATCTTTCTAAGACACGAAAAGCATATTTCACAAAAAAAAAAACTTAGGGCCTGTTTCTACTGGAAAGAAATAATCAATTAAAAATCACTTTTTCGAAAAATTGCTTTTATTCTCGCAGTAAAAACGGGACCAGTTTGAAAAAAGTGATTAAAAAAAATCGATTAAAAATACGCAATGGATAACGTGTTTGAACGGCAAATAACAGATTTTGGCTGTGCACCTTTTAGCTGCAACACAAAAAAAGCGATTATCAGGTAAAGTGTGACCTCCAGGTCAATCACTGCAAAGACTAGATCGTATTAGGCGCAAACTTTCAAAAAAAATTTGTCCTCTTTTTCATGTCCTAGGCCTACAAGCTAAAAACGTCAACAAACATGAGGAGTGACGAATTTGTTTTGTAATTATTTTGTGGGAGGGGGAGATATTGGGCCTAGGACTCTAAGCTCTATTGGGCCTACCGTTGTCCTCGTTTGGTCGTCGTTCATAATTGTGCCGATAAGCACAGCTGAAATCATTTGCCTTCTCACCCCACATGGTATCTTACTCCTCGCCATCATGACAGAGAATGATACTATACTATACAGTTAGGAAAACAACGTGTTGTATAAAAAAAATGGTGATGAATTTCCGTCACGAAAACCGATTTTCGAAAAATTAAAAATGCAGTTGCTACGCCAGCAGGCTGTCTGGTACTCATTAAAAAAACGGTTTTAAAAAATCGATTATTTTGTGTTTATCAGTAGAAACACACCCTTGGAACAGTTAATGAGATACAGATTTTTGAATATTTAAAACTGGGGAAAAAAGAGGCATAACCCCCCATTTTTCCACCTTTTTTTCCTCTGGAGCCTGGCATTAAGTAGAACCTTCCTTTTCACTACATTGTACATTGTCATTTGATCCTAAAAATTGATCATTCAGGCAAAAGCAGAATGACCTGTGCAAGTGCATATTTTGTAGAAATGACACTTACCGTATTGATAAGTAGATTCTGTGGTTTTAAATCACGGTGGAGGACGTTGTTACTATGGCAAAAAGCTAGGCCACGTAGTAACTGGTACATAAATGCCTGAGCAAAAAAAGCACAAATTTATTGTTAGTGTCATTTCATTTCATTTATTTCTCTCAGACATACAGAAATACAATACATTAAAGCAGTAAAACAAACCCAAACAAAAATTGGGTCAAAAAAACATTAAAAGAGAGAGGAAAAACAAAACACGTACTGATTCCACTATCAAATGGTTTCCCTTACAAGACAAACAATAAATATAAAACGATAAACACATTAAAAAAATCTATAAAATATATTTGCTCAATTAAAATTATGTATTTGTATTATTATTAGTATTATTATTAGTAGTAGTAGTAGAAAAATGACTTTTTAAGAGATCTACGGAATGAACTTACAGTAGGTTAATCAATAAAGTATTTTAATATCATTGGGTAGTCTATTCCATGCCCACGGAAAAATACACACCAAATATATCAAATAATTGTTGGTGCATAATTGTTTGATTATAAATAACAATAATTAATAATATTTTTTAAAAAATACTGTATTTTTGTAAAATATATTTTTTTAGCTAAAATATACTGAAAATGTATGAAAGCGGTTCCTTTCAAACTTTGATTAATTAATTTTACATCCCAAAAACATTTTAATGCAAGAGGCCCATGGCCTAGCAGTTCTCGTTCTGTGCAAATGTTGTATGAGCCAAGTATTTTATATTAAATCCACTGTACAATAAGTAACTTGACTTGTTGACTAAAAAACTCTTAGACATTAAACAAACATGAACTTCATAAATAAGAAACACAAACAGCAAGATATATTGTGGTAGGGAGTTTTGACTTATAATAATAATAATATATTAATTTCCTCAAATACAGGAGGAGGGCAAAGCCAAAGAGGTGCAAAGTTCCTGTACAAGGTCTGACAGCCCCCACTTTCAGATGGTAATAATGATGAGGCAAATTGAGTGACATTGCAAGCAATCCTTACCTTAACAACATCTTGATCAATCTCACCATTACAGGCATCAAAATACTTCTTCAAGTCTTGGTCACAGTATTCAAAGACTAACGTCAACCGCTTTTCACTGTGTAGAACATCATGAAGACGGACAATATTCTTGTGTTTTAATTCCTTTAAGAGACATATTTCTCTCAATGCTGAACTGGGTACGCCCTGATAAATGAATTCAATTTAAAACAGTTTATTTGTTAAGTAGATTCCATACAAAAAATTTTAAAATTTAAATTTGAAATATCTTTATTGCAATCAAAGTAAACAGAAAAGTTAAATGCACAAATTAAAAATAGAAAAAAAAAACAAAGATTAGACTATAAAAGTACAAAATAAATTTACAGGGTTACAATAGAATAAAAGGGAAAAAAAGGCAAGCTTATTCATTCAAATTCATTTACAAATTAAACTGAAATAAATAAAAAATATGATTTTGATTTTTAATGATTGATTATAATTTAAATTAACATCACAGTAAAAATTATTAAAATTATTAATTATTTATTTTCAAGTACAATGAAATTTAAAAGTATTCAATTATTTATTCATTTATATTGACATATTTATTAACAATTAATTTACATTGGTTATTATTATTATTATTAATTGCACTTGTGTAGCGCATATTGCTAAAGCCTCTATGCACTTTCCAGAAAATTAGAGAAAAATGAAAAGGTGTGCAATTAAAAGGAAATTTTAAGTCAAAAAGACAAGAAAAAGACGCAAAAAGAAACAAGGAGAAAACTAATCTACATGTTGGTGGAAAGGAATGTCTTGAGACGGGACTTGAAGGAACTGACCGAAGGAGTAGTTCGAACATCCAGGGGAAGCTTAGGCCTATTCCAGAAAACTGTAGCAGAGTTTTTCAAAACAAGCTGAAGCCAAATTGTTTGAGTGAAGGGCATATTATTTAAAGATTTACACATAAAAAATGACATTTAAAAGAGTAAAATAACAATCAAACACAACCACATCGCATCAAAACCAATTATTTTAAAATAATCACATCAAAAACATATCACTGGGGAAGTAGTATGGTACAATATAACATAGGAACTACTGAACAAACAAATTTACTCTTGAAACAAGATTGCAAAATTTCTATTGCTTCCAAAACTTAACTGTGCCTAAGTAGCTCTTTGTGAGACAGATACAGTTATACATACACATTATCAGATGACATTGATTATTTTTGTCTAAAGTATCAGTAATACCTACCTCATCGTCATCATCAAGACGAACCCTTTTGAGGGCAACAATCTCCTGTGTTTCTTTGTTTTTCGCTTTGAATACTGTACCATAAGTTCCTAATAAAAAACAAGAAAAAAATGTATGGGGCCTATATAATAATTATAATACAATGTGAAGTTTGTTTTTTTTTACATGGAATTTGTGTAGCCTCAGGTTAGAGTAACCCTGGTTAAGAAATAAATTTAAAAAAATAAATAAATAGTCTCAATCTATCACCTGCTTTCAACATTTTTTTCTTGGCCTTCACTAAATGTTTTTGAGATTTTATTTAATTATTTTTTTTAGTTTTACAGTAGTAATTTATATCTCACCCAAGATGAATAAATAACATTTAAAATTACATCAATAGCATTAAATAAATATATCCATTCGTGACCCAAGATCTGGCAGTGGATTTTGACCAAACATAAAGCAAAGGCATCTATTATACATTATATCATATCATTTATTTTGTTTTTCACAGGACACAACAGAATAATACAATAGTAAATCAACAAAGCAGGATTACCTCAGTGTTATAAATAAAATAAGTCAATAGGCTCTCACAACATTAAAATTGTTAAGATAGACTTTCTCATTATATTATATAGAAAATATTTGATTTTATGTTTACATATTTAGAGCACATAGGCCTAGATAGAAAAAATTATTAGAATAGAATATCCATTTTTCAAAAAAAAAAAAGTGATGAGGGAGGGCTTTTTTTTTTAATCGGAACAATAAAATGTAAAGTGTAAAATATCTTTTAATGCTATGATTAAAACTGTTCAGGCCAGGCTACTACTGGCCTAGGCCTTAAAATTAAACATTGGTCGCTGAGATCCACAGCGGCGCACGATCTTCTTTTTATTATTTAAATGTATTTATTCCTATTTATATGAAATTAGGCCTACTCTATCTAGGTAGGAGGCTGATTTAGGACTTAGTAGGCTGTTGCTGCTAGAGAGGCCTAGCATAGTAAAGTAGAGAGATACTGTAGTCTAGCTAGACAACTACTACAACAACCTAGTCCTACTAGCTAGGCCTAGCACAGTCTAGGCCGGTGCCTAGACGAGCCTTTATACTCTCTACCGGCCGTCGCCCCAGCAGGCCAGGCCGGGCCTAGCAATCCAATAAAATAACAACACACTGCTACTACTAAACAGAAGAACCGCCTAGCCTAGGCCTAACCATACAAATCGGACAGTGATGCAAAATTAATTTCCATCGTATAAAAAGTGTTTACCTTCTCCAATTTTCTCAAGTTTTTCATATTTTTGCATCTTAAATTAACCACAGCTCAACCGCGTACCTAAACAACAATAAAAAAAAGTAGGCTTATTCCAGTCGCTATCTGAAATAGTGTCCAGCGTCCTGGCGTTTTTACACCATCTACCACAAATACACTGGAATGCAAAGACCAAACTATGTTTGACCTCTACATTCCAACAAAAACTATCAAATTGAAATCAATATTATTTTATTATATATTCAAATAATATTACGAATTGACACAGTATATTAATAAAAAAATTTATATATTTTATTTGAATAAGTTAAACATTTAACAGCAAATATATATTATTTAAAATATAATTCAATAATTCATATTTTTCAACAAAATAGTGAGGCAGACGACACATTTGATCCATACCCACCGACATGGCAAAGTTTTATTGGTCTAAAGTAAATGTAAAATATATTTATCCGCCTAAACTTTTAACATTTATAATTTCAAGTAATTTCATAAGGTTAACGTATTGAATATGGTATATAATACATATTTGGTTAATTTTATATAAGCCAAAGTTATATATCATAGGTAAATATTTAAACTAAATTGTGTATTTTATGGACTACTTTAATGGATAAAGAAAGTTATGTGCTGTGCAATACACGGCCGACAATAACACTGGCGTGTCACTAATGTTAGAGAACCGGTGTGGAGGGTAAAGATTCTGAGAATGTCTACGACGAAGTTCCTAACTTTTCTTCTTTTTGGCTTACTTATTTTGGGTAGGCAGTTGAGCAAGGCCGACGAAGATGCAGCAACTGATGCCCCAGGTACGCAGCCTATTTTTAACAAAATTCCTAGTCTAGGCTAGGTTGTAAGCCCAGCCTCGAGCCTAGGCTAGGCAACGTGTCCTTCTTGCCTGTCCTGAAAGATCTGAAGTAGGCCTAGGCCTATGCCCTATGGGTGTTACGTAGCATAGGTAGCGGGCCTAGTTTATGTAACAGCGGATTATGAATGGTTGATGAAAAAATGTAAAAATAATGGTTCAGGCCTAAGACTGGTAAAGAAATTTCCTTGATTCGTATATCAGGTGCGTCTAGATTATTAGAAGTAAATAAATAGACTGCTGCTGGTCCAGATTCAGAAGAGAAAGTGAATAAATAATGTCAGGCCTATAAAACACACACTAGGCCTATAGCACCTCTGTCAGCAAAGTATAGTACAACAGGACATCAACGAAGTAACGCAAAGCAAAATATAGGCTAACTGATTGGATGATGATTTACTCAGAAATAAAAGAGGGACTGGCGTAGACATCAAGCCCCAAACAAAAATAGAACTAAACTCCTCCAGTTATAAAACTTCATCAAAACAATAATTCGTAATTCGTTCTCATGAAACTCTACAAACATTCTCATTGGCTCATCACTTCAGAACTATTACTATTTTGGTTAATAACAATTTTTCGTAATACGCACCTCACTTACAATTGGTAATGGCAATTGCAAACGCGTGCACAAAAATGTGTGATCGATGCATGACTGATACATGACTAGAAGAACTAGATTTCAACAGATATGCGTAGGCGCAATACTGGATTAGATAATATCAGCGTTACATTAGTACCTTAAAATCGTAACTAAGTTCTCATGGTCTAATGTTGGCATACAGTAGGTTTAGTGCACAACTTTAGGCCTAGACTGGAAGGTGTATACAGTAGTTTGAAACCTTTCTTTGTTGAAATTTTACAGTCTTGTCTTCATTTTACTTATTCTTCAATTCTTTTACAGATGAAACAGCAGAGACAGAAAGTGGGGAAACTGGAGAGGATGATCCTGTAGTCGAGGAAGAAGATGATGTCATTGTGCTGACAGAAGAAAATTTTGATTTTGTAGTAATGGATAAAAAGATTATTCTAGTAGAATTCTATGCTCCTTGGTAAGGAAAATGAAGTATAATCATTATAATCTATTACTTTATTTTTATGATGTACTTACAGTACTTGAATATAAAATCTGAAGCCTTTTGACCTCAAAAAGCAGATTTCCTCCCTTAACCTCTCAGCCAATCCTCGTGCAAATTTAATACCTATAAGTTTTAAAACCACGCAAATAATGTGGATATATAGCAATATATTCTTTGATAGACTAGTAGTAGTATTCTTCAATAAAAATATACTTATAGGCCTAGGATACTTTGTCAGGGCTCAATTTAGTACTAGTCCATCGTACAATTTAGTTTCAATTTCTAAACGACATTTATTCTCTTCCATATAAAACATAAATATACAATGTCTAGTAAAAACTCCTCTGGGCTAGTAAACCTACCTTATTACTAGCCCGGTGTGTCATTGATCAGTTATAAACTATGCTTGGCCAAGAACATAATGTTACTGAAGTAAAATGTATCCAGCGATTCATTAAACTAGCCCAGTGCGCTAGTCACCAAAGAAAGTTAAATCGGGCCCTGTTTGTGTTGGTACTCTAGAATATTGTTTTTGCTGTTATAAACATATTAGACATGTGTCCATCAGCATGTCATTTGTTTTTTGTTAAACATCTTTGATTCAGTACTAAAAATTGGATTGGATTTATTTAAAAATTCTCAACATTAAACAATGTACAAAATAAAATTAGATAACATAATAGAGAATTTCAAGATCATATATTTTACAAATAATTCCTGCTATTCCAGGTGTGGACATTGTAAAAGATTGGAGCCAGAATATAAGAAAGCTGCAAAGACTTTAAAAGGGAATGATCCTCCTGTACCTCTTGCTAAGCTGGATGCAACTGCTCATAAAGATCCTGCTAGCCGCTATGATGTCTCCGGATATCCTACCCTCAAAATCTTCCGCAACGGAAAAGCTTATGACTACAAAGGTCCCCGGGAAGAGGCTGGTAAGAACATGAATTCCGAACATTAGATCAATCAACATTTTGTAATTATATTTCCTTCATAGTTATCCCCTTCCTAAATCATCCATTCCTACCAAAATCCTAATCCCTTTTGAAATCCTTCATCCCTTCATTCCCATGATGTTATTATATTCCCAAATATTTAATTTTTTCCAAAACTCCAACTTCCCCAATTTTTTTACATGTGTGCAAGTGAAAATAAATTGAGTTGAATTGAATAACCCGTCCATACCTAATCCTATATCCTTATCACAACTACAGTTCTACTAAATCCATCTGTTCCAAATCTCTTTCCAAATACCAAACTTTTTCCCATAATCTCCATCACTCTTCCCAAATCCTTGATCCTTTTCTAAAATCTTTAAATTTCCTTCCCAATTATTCTTTATTGCCTCCCCAAGTTTTTCATCCCCTCCCCAAATTCTGTAAGTCCTAAAATTCTTCCTCCTTTAAAAATCCTTTAAAAATTCCCTTCTCTGTTATAGTCCCTTAAAAAAACCTTCCATCCCTTTTAAAAAATCTCATGTCTCCCTTTCCCAATTCTCAGTTCCCATTCAAATTATATTTCATTGTCTACAAAGTGTAACTTCCAAGTTGAGAGCTTTAAATTGGTACATATACATAGGGCCTACCAATTAAAGTGTTCTGTTTTTTCTTTTCCACCAACATGACTAGTACAGAGGCTGGTTTTGGCCTGGGAGTGCGAAAATGAGAATGTGGAACTAAATTTCTAATCCAATGAAATTTTTGTAGTTTACCCTCCAAAGTGAAACTAATTTGCTGCCATTGGGGGTGGGGGGCCTACATACAATATGATCTGTTTTACTGTAGCTGAGAGTAAACTTTGTAAACTTTTGCACATTTCAATCTGCAGGTATTGTGAGCCACATGCAAGAGCAAGCAGACCCTAGCTGGACCCCACCACCTGAAGCTGTCATTACTTTAACTGATGATAACTTTGATGAGATGGTTAACAAAGAGGAGCTAATTCTTGTAGAGTTCTATGCTCCTTGGTAGGTTAACTAGCATTTTTCATGATAAAATAAAATTAAACAACAGTCTCCCTCCAATTAAAGACCACTTTTGTGACTGGGTTTTCATAGACTTAAGCAGCTTTGGTATTTAAATAGAAAAATAAGTATTATTAAGATAAATTATAGGTGTTTATCAGGAATAGAAAACTAGTGGTCATTAATTGGAAGTGGTTTTTATTTGGAGGGTCTTTCAAAGAGGAGTATATGACAAAAAAATGTGTATGAAACTAAATTTACCCTAGTTGGGTAACTGGAAAATTTGGGCAGGTCTCTGATGACCTGTTACAGCCTTAGTGAGTAATTAAGTAGTATACAAAGAGACAACATCTTGCTCTTCTTAAGTAAATGATTCTGTGTTCTTTACCATTCTCATGATGTATAACAAGATTCAATACTGTAAATTTGTACTACATAATCCAAAACATGAACATAAGACATAAATATTCACATTCAGATAAAATATTAAAATACTAATTTTCAAGCTAAACATATTATGGTTATTTATATGCTTAGGTGTGGCCACTGTAAAAAACTAGCCCCAGAATATGAAGATGCGGCACAACAACTGAAGGAGATGGATCCCCCGATCCCTCTAGCTAAGGTCGATGCTACTGTTGCGACCGAAGTGGCTGGTAGATTTGGAGTCACTGGTTATCCCACACTAAAGCTTTTCAGGAATGGAAAAGATTATGAATACAATGGTCCAAGAGAGGCCTTAGGTAAGCTGGCAATTGGTATTGGTAATATTATATAATAAAAAGTAAATAAATATATTTTTAGAATTCAGAAAAGGCTGCCCTCTGCAGATAGAAAAATTGTGTTGCGAGCAGCTCTCTGGGATGGATTCGTGTGTAAGATGATATTAATATTATCATCATAGCCTCATAGGAAGATAGGAAGGCCATTTCTCCCATTTAATGGCACACCAGATTTCGAGCCCTCATTTTTCTTGTATGCATACAGGAATATAAACATGCTGAGCTTTTTGCTGTGATTGGCTTTGCTATAACATGATCTAGATGAAATTTCTAGGCCTACTTTTATTGGTGTTCTGTTAGAAGTAAATACAAATGAATGTCCTGTGAGCAATATGATACAATAGAACCCCTATTAAAACATTGGCTGCCACACCCTTTCTCCCTAGGTGTTGCAAGATTTGCCAAGACATAGAGGGTGTAAACCATAATGAACATTCCCATAAACTTCAATAAAACACATACAGACATGATATTTATTTTTAGATCATTGTTTTTCCATTCCGAGTTCTTCCTTTAACTGCCAGGTGAGAGTGTTAAGGCCACCACCATTTGTGACTTCACATACAATACAAAAGTGCTATATTTGGACGTGAACTCACATCTTGTTGCCCTGAGCAATACCCAATACTCAGGTTCCTGGTATCCAACATTTTAATTGGGACACTTTTGTTGTTATTGTTAACTATAAGAAATATTTAATTTAAATCATTTTACTTTCATAGGAATAATTGAGTACATGCAAAAACAATCTGGAGATTCTTCAAAGAACAAGGAAACACTAAAAAACATGAAGAAATACTTAGAAAAACAGGATGATATTAGCATTGTTGGGTTCTTTGGCAGTGCAGAGGACAACTTGTACAAAATGTACCTTGATCTTGGTAAGACAACCCTGAAGTTGATTCCCCCACCACATGTCAGACATCTCCATACATGTGAACATAAATGATAAAAAGCAGTCATACAGAAAGCAACATCACAGATTAACATATACATAATAGATAATAAATACATTTTATAAATATTATAGCTTTATAGCTTTTGCAATTTACACGTCATCATATTAAGTTTGCTTTGTAGCACTGAATGAAATATATTATATATTATATTATATTATATATATATATATATATAATATAATATAATGTAATATATATTATATAAACAAATAGG